ACGAATTTCTCGCAGAAAAATAACTTGACCTTTGGAGACATCATTAATAAAAATAATTTTTATGGCCGTTGAATAAGAAATGTTTCTTTCACAAGAAATGTATAAAATTACTGCTGTATTAGACTTACGGTACCTAATTTACATACTGTACAGACGATAATAAACTCAACTTACTAGCGTAAACTCTCCGTAGCGTGGCGCCAGTCGGCGGAAAGCATATATAAAATTATAATAAAGTTACAATAAATTAAGTTAATATATAATTATATATACAGTACTTAATTTATATATAATTAATATATAATTATGTGTACAGTACCTAATTTATATGTAAATTATATATAATACTGCACAGAGGATATTGAACTGAATTTAGTCGCTCTGTGTCGTGGCGCAGGTAGGAGGAAAATAGTTCGGCTGCTCGTCCACTATTGGTCAAGAGTCTATCAATTTTGTCGCGACGACGTTTTAGGAGTTCCTTTATATGAATATTGCTACAATTTTTTCGCTACGTTATAGGAATTTTCGTTATAGAAACGCACGTTATAGGGGGGTCGACTGTAATTAACTTAATGATATAGCTGGTAAATTCTCACTATCCATTATTCAAATAAGAAATTTACTATATCTTTTAACAAAAAGGGACTTAATTGAAATCTATTCAACTCTAAATGGAGTGCACTTCCTGGAACTTTATATTCAAGCGAGAACGTTTTAAAATAAATTTGTTTTGTATTATATCTCAATAATGCATATGCAAACGTGACACAGATTGTTTATATATCAACCAACTTTGTAAACAAATTTTGTCTTTTTTTATATTTTTATTTTAGGGATTCCCTTTCGAAATTTTCAGTAATTTTAATTTAAAATAATTTAGAGAAACAAATTAGAATAAAAAATGTATCAATTATATATTATAAATCTCACAACATGCAAAGAAAAGATAAGGGGTTTTCGTCTACCTACGACTCGGACTGATTGAAATGAGCACAGCAATAGTGTTACCATCCATCCGGATAGTCCGCGAATCGACTCGCCGTCCGGGGATATCATGCGCAACCTGTTGACCTTTTTTTATTTTTGTTTTTTGTTTTTTGTTTTTTTTTTTTTTTGATTGTGCGATTCATTTGTAATCATATACACCTCCACTATCCAATAGGGCTAGGTCACTTGCGTTATTCCTATCCAAGCCTCCCTAGTCCGTAACTGTAACTGATTTAGAACGGACATGCACTGCAAATTATTCTTCGCATTTCAAAATGATATACGCATGCGTCAGGAACTTCTGTTCCGACAAACCTCACCTGCCATCAGGGTCGGCGATTTTAAAAAAATGGCAACACTAGCACGGAATTTTTCATTACTTATTCTGTGATGAAACTGAATTTTAGTCTTTTAAATTAAGATACCTAAATAAGGGGGCGGTGAAATTTTCCTCCGCTCCGGGCGGCTGACACCCACGCTACGCTACTGGCCCCAAGTACTGTACATATAATATATACTTGTGGTTCAATATACAAGTATATTTAAGGATTATCATGTCTAGATTATAATAATAAGTACTAAAACGTTATCAAGAAAAAGAATATTTTAAAAATTACTTCTACAGACACTTTTAATTTTTTATTAGAAATAGATAAATTCATTTATTATAAAGGAGACAAAAATTTATTTGAAAAACACAAATATTTGTTTTATTTGAGTCTCTAATTAATAATAAGCAACGAAATATCATTTTAAAGTGCATTTTTATTCAACTAATATAAATAATATGTAGCCCAAAAGTAGCCAAAGCGCCAAATAATATTTTTTACGTCAAACAAAAAAAGTAGCCACATTTGGCGCAATGTAGCCAAATCTTGCAACGTTGGAAANTATTGGATTGTGGAGGTGTATATGATTACGAATGAATCGTACGAGCAAAAAAAAAACTAGACAGGTTTAACAAGTCGGATGGTAACACTATTCCGTGCTCATTTCAATCGGTCCGAATCGTACGTGGACGAAAATATGAAATAAAATGGTTCAAATTCTTACAGAATATTATTATTATTTGTTGTGAAATTTTGCCGCCCTCCCCTACGCTACGCTACTGAACTGAAGCATGCTTTTGATCTTTTACATGCCGTAAAAGCAGGACAAGAATTCTTAGGAAATAATGTCCTGTCTTGTAGATTATTACTTGAAGCCTTTCTTCGGAGCTGAACATTTTTGTTGCGATTTTTTTAGTTTAATTTTCTGATCTGTCGAGTTAATGAGTTTTCTTGCAAAAAATGTAAAATATTTGAATGTATAACGTTAAATTAAGTTTACAGTGTGTGATAAATAAAATTGTACACATTTGTACTGCAATTGTTTGTAATAAATTGAGTTCGATAACGAAAAGTTTTTATTATCTGTTTAATGCTATCAGCCGAGTATTGTGATTAAAAACACTCGGCTGCCGCGATTTCTGATAACGAATTTCTCGCAGAAAAATAACTTGACCTTTGGAGACATCATTAATAAAAATAATTTTTATGGCCGTTGAATAAGAAATGTTTCTTTCACAAGAAATGTATAAAATTACTGCTGTATTAGACTTACGGTACCTAATTTACATACTGTACAGACGATAATAAACTCAACTTACTAGCGTAAACTCTCCGTAGCGTGGCGCCAGTCGGCGGAAAGCATATATAAAATTATAATAAAGTTACAATAAATTAAGTTAATATATAATTATATATACAGTACTTAATTTATATATAATTAATATATAATTATGTGTACAGTACCTAATTTATATGTAAATTATATATAATACTGCACAGAGGATATTGAACTGAATTTAGTCGCTCTGTGTCGTGGCGCAGGTAGGAGGAAAATAGTTCGGCTGCTCGTCCACTATTGGTCAAGAGTCTATCAATTTTGTCGCGACGACGTTTTAGGAGTTCCTTTATATGAATATTGCTACAATTTTTTCGCTACGTTATAGGAATTTTCGTTATAGAAACGCACGTTATAGGGGGGTCGACTGTAATTAACTTAATGATATAGCTGGTAAATTCTCACTATCCATTATTCAAATAAGAAATTTACTATATCTTTTAACAAAAAGGGACTTAATTGAAATCTATTCAACTCTAAATGGAGTGCACTTCCTGGAACTTTATATTCAAGCGAGAACGTTTTAAAATAAATTTGTTTTGTATTATATCTCAATAATGCATATGCAAACGTGACACAGATTGTTTATATATCAACCAACTTTGTAAACAAATTTTGTCTTTTTTTATATTTTTATTTTAGGGATTCCCTTTCGAAATTTTCAGTAATTTTAATTTAAAATAATTTAGAGAAACAAATTAGAATAAAAAATGTATCAATTATATATTATAAATCTCACAACATGCAAAGAAAAGATAAGGGGAATGCTCGTCGTTTTTCCCTTTTTCGATGGTGTTATATGACTGATGGTATGCTATTCATGTCACGTGGATGCATATCATTGTTCATTGATAAGAGAGTAGGAGGACTTCTAGATGACAAATTACTTCACCTTTCTAGGAAACAAAAGCCTGATTGGTCAAAAACAAAGAATAAAATAAAAAGATGTGACGAAATTCAAAAAAGAATCAGCCGTTGTAAAAGCCACTGAGAATGGTGGAATCTCAAGTAAATTCGATGCATTTAAACAGAATAACTGCTTATAATAATTGAAGCAATCTACATAAAAAATTTCACGGTCTGGAGAACTTTTGACATCCTGATGTCGGCTTACACGATACCAAAATGTTCTGGAATCTCTAAACTTCTCAGTTGTAAGACAAATTTACAATAACATTTTACGTTTTATGCCCCGACAAATAAATCATATTCTGTTTTTTAAATTTAAAAAAAATTAAGGCAGGCCTGATTGTTTAGTCAATGAAATTTCTTAAAAGCATAATTCTTCGCCTTTTTCCGTTTATAACAATACTCATTAAACTAAGCGGTACGATTATTCATATTATATTTAACGCCTTAAATTAATACGTCATGTCTCTTTGCAATAGAATATAAATCAGATATAATTGAGTTGTAAAAATTATAAACCAGTTCGAATTTAAAATTTTTATTCTAACAACACTGTTTAACTGCATCTTCAAATATTTCAAATTTTCAGTCATTCCAAACAATACGTAATTCCAACCAAAGGAAGTGTCTTAGGAATAGATAAATAAATTCACACTGGAAAATATTTAGAGAATGTAAAAGATTCAACAAAAAAGACGCTAACGCAAAGACAAAATATTCAGAGATGACCATAACAGGGCTACGTAGATTTGACAATAATCTTAATCGGCTCGGATAGTCTTTCATATTTCGACCATTAAAAAGAATTAGATGTTGTTTAATCCGCCATCGCAAAGCTGTCTAAAGCCGAATCAACATTTAAGCCCTTTGACGTCTAACATCGAAAACGTTTGGCGATGCCACGTTCAAGCACAAAACGACTTCTACTCGTATATGGACATTGAAATCACCCATAATTACAACTTCATCATGATGCAAAGACCAAGTGGTCAAAACGTCAGAAAACCGATCAAAGTTTTGCTGCTTTAACGAACCAACATCACCAACGAACTATGAAACCAGCATCGGAATTCTCCTGGGGTCGTGATTTAAAAGATAAGATAGACCTATCACAATAAAATCACAATAAGTCTCCAATAATTAAAATTGCACTTTGTCCATGTTAATGAAGAACAAAATCCCGACGAGTTCGCGTAACCCGGTCCCAATGGCTTTTCATCAAAAACCGTAAAATACTTCCAATTTACTAATAGAGCATTCCGTATAAAATTCTGGTCCATTGAAACCATCAAGTTCCAATCATATTCGAATAAAGATACTTAAATCGTTATTCAAATGTCGTGAAAAAAGTAAAAAATGTAAAATGTTTTATAGTTTTATGATTATATTACAGAAAATCTTGAAAACGAATAATTCATGTAATGTCGAAATATCTTACCTAAGGCAGTTACAGGCTTGCACTTCCCAACAGGTAGATCCCTGGATTCTAATAAAGTTATCCATCCATTTGGATAAGCAGGAGGATATTCTTTTGCACTTCTTAATCTATTTGTTTCTTTTAATAACTGCATTCGTTTTCTATGTAATTCCCTCGCATTCATTCTTCTATCCTCATAACCGATATCCGTCATGTCCTACATCGATAAATTACCGTTGAAATGTAAATAATATGTTTTAAACAACAAATATTTCTTTAATTATACTTACGACGACTTTATTATAAGTTGATAACGAAAAATACATGACGAAAATAATAATAAATAATAAAATCAGTAGATATGGTTTATTTATAATTGTTGTACTGATGCATTGGAACATATCCAGAACCCAGGGATATTTCCATAACTCCTTTGCTATACTGCTGTATATAAAGGTGAACATATTTGTTTGAATTATATTCTGGAAAATGTCTGAAATAAAAAATTCAATTACATTGTTTAATAACTTAATAGGTTTAATTAATTTAACACTTATAAACTGTTGCTATAATTGATTATCTTAATAGGTTAGCATTGATGCAGTTTGGATTCACTGTTTCAATGGCAATGATTACTGTCACGTTGACATTTGTTACATCATGTCATCTTTTTTAATCATAAGTGATCAGAAAAATATTATTTTATAAAATTTATAGGTATAAATGGAAGTTGATTAATTGTCAATTTTAACGAGTGAGAAATAAATATNGTGTTAGAAATTAGAATGTCGCAACATCCTCTGTTTGCCCGGGAAAAGGTCAGATATAGCGATTTTATATGTCAATGAAAAATTAGTTTTTTTTTAATGTAATTATGCACACGTCAATAATTAAATAAACGATAATTATTTTCTCAGAATGTCAAGCTGCAATTTTTTTAATCATATTTCTATTTATTTTATTCAATATATCTTCTCCTTACTTCAAATTAATAGTAGTTTGCCTTCCTACATTATATTTTTCCTTTAACAATAGAGTCGTACTAGTTATCCATTTGACTCTGAATTTCTGTTTTCATCGAAAGTACAGTTCTTCTACAGTTAATAAAGGGCTTCTTGCCCCTAAGCATTTTATATCTGGTCAAGCGATCTGCAAACTGAATTACACTGAATTTTAAACATACAAATTTATATTGTATTTGAACTACTACAACATTACATATATGTGAGGATTTTTCGGATTTGTACGGGCCGCTTAAACATCTAAATTTTCTGTTAATTAACTTCGGGAAAAAACCGAGGAATTTAAACTATATCGAATTTCGCCGCTTGTGTGACAACTAGCTGAGGAAGTTTACATTTAAGTATGAAGAATGCACCGTCATCGTCAACAAGAGTCGATGACGTGTCCGCTCTCGCACGAAAAGATATAAAAAGGAAGATCACCGGAAGCTCACGGCGTCTGCACACGGAAAGTATTCTTAGTACTTGTATTTTCTCAATTTTTTAGACGCTAAATTTTTGCACTGCAGCTAAGCTATTGCTACCGTTCTGATAAAACAGCTTTACCAGCGAAGATTCTGTAAGGAAATGATTAACAATAAGATAAAGGCGTGCAAAATGATTTTCAGGCATTCAATGCAGTCGTTTTGTTTGGGTCCGCTTACTTTGCATTAGCATTTCATAGAAAGCGCGATCAGACGATAATTTTTTATTTTGAAATTTTTTTCCATTGTCTACACAGAGTTTTATCAAAATCTGATCAGCGGAACGGGCGCTAGAAAGTTTGAATAGAGTCAGTTTATTTATAACTACATAGTGTATTGGCAAACGATCCACTTGTACAATACTTAATGTTATGGTGATATAAATCATATTCAATTTCTGTATGGAGTGAATTTGATGTTGTGTTTGTTCAATTATGGTAATAATTGGTTATGAACGTTGTCCCTTTGTTAAAAAAAAACGTAGAATTAATTAAACCCTATATTTTTTCGCAATTTATTTTCGCTTTCCGTATTTTTTAATTAACAGATAAATAGACTATAGATCATTTTATCGTGTTTTAGATTTTTATTTCTAATACTTTCTGTCATATACAACAGAAAAAAAATTTTGTTCACCCAATTTAAAGGTAAATAACTTTCGTCAAAAAATCTAAGAAATTTTGCAGGGAAATTTGTGTATTAGCACATTGTTTATATTAAGTTTTGGCAGATAAAAGTCAACGGGATGAAGAAATAAAAGTGAGAAATAGAATTGCATTTCGAGTGGGGGAGCCTCAATAAACATTTTATTTATTAGTAGCTTACCAGTCACGCATTGCTGCGATTTCAGAATAAACGAAATCCAATCAAACTCATTATGATAAAATTAAATTTACATTTTATCATTTTTATTGAAACTTATTATTATTATTCATTTTCATCGCAGAGTAATTGTTTTCGTACAACGATTTTCAGATATTTATATTGTGGGGCGAAGTCGTTAGTTTTGACAAAGTATATAATGTTTAAAGCTTTACTTAAAACCTAAAATAAATAAATAGTTCAAAATATTCGACAACACATTGTTAAAGTTAATTTATTTTTAATTTACAACTTGTAATAGAGTCGTGCCGGTAACCTGTTTAACAGCTTTCAGGGACAAATGTATAGGCCTAAATTAAAATAATGATGTGACTTTCAGTTCGCATTAGAAGTGCGTATATAGATAATTGAAGCGTATTGCCCCTTATCTATCTACGTCTGGTTATCTGTTTTATTTGTCTAATTCCGTTTATGAATTAAGGTAAGACAGGTTGACGAACTGACGGACAACACAGGGAATTTATAGATCTACAATTTTTTCAAATTGCAGCCAATTAAAAATATTTGTTTTATATTTCTAGTAAAGAATAAAGAAAATATTAACCAACCGTAATACTTCATTTTTACGTTTCATTGAAAGACTGCAGCAGTCAAAATGTAACAAATTAACACCGAGTAATTATATATTAATTTTACACTATAATAGAGATAACGATAATATAACTGGAAAAATGAGTAAAAACAATTTATAACAAGCAACAAGCAATTTCGAATGCTGCTCTTAATATTAGGCATATTAAGATATACTTACCTGATTCAATCAATTCACGACCTAATTTACATCTGATTCATTCTTACTGTTAGAAATTAGAATGTCGCAACATCCTCTGTTTGCCCGGGAAAAGGTCAGATATAGCGATTTTATATGTCAATGAAAAATTAGTTTTTTTTTAATGTAATTATGCACACGTCAATAATTAAATAAACGATAATTATTTTCTCAGAATGTCAAGCTGCAATTTTTTTAATCATATTTCTATTTATTTTATTCAATATATCTTCTCCTTACTTCAAATTAATAGTAGTTTGCCTTCCTACATTATATTTTTCCTTTAACAATAGAGTCGTACTAGTTATCCATTTGACTCTGAATTTCTGTTTTCATCGAAAGTACAGTTCTTCTACAGTTAATAAAGGGCTTCTTGCCCCTAAGCATTTTATATCTGGTCAAGCGATCTGCAAACTGAATTACACTGAATTTTAAACATACAAATTTATATTGTATTTGAACTACTACAACATTACATATATGTGAGGATTTTTCGGATTTGTACGGGCCGCTTAAACATCTAAATTTTCTGTTAATTAACTTCGGGAAAAAACCGAGGAATTTAAACTATATCGAATTTCGCCGCTTGTGTGACAACTAGCTGAGGAAGTTTACATTTAAGTATGAAGAATGCACCGTCATCGTCAACAAGAGTCGATGACGTGTCCGCTCTCGCACGAAAAGATATAAAAAGGAAGATCACCGGAAGCTCACGGCGTCTGCACACGGAAAGTATTCTTAGTACTTGTATTTTCTCAATTTTTTAGACGCTAAATTTTTGCACTGCAGCTAAGCTATTGCTACCGTTCTGATAAAACAGCTTTACCAGCGAAGATTCTGTAAGGAAATGATTAACAATAAGATAGAGGCGTGCAGAATGATTTTCAGGCATTCAATGCAGTCGTTTTGTTTGGGTCCGCTTACTTTGCATTAGCATTTCATAGAAAGCGCGATCAGACGATAATTTTTTATTTTGAAATTTTTTTCCATTGTCTACACAGAGTTTTATCAAAATCTGATCAGCGGAACGGGCGCTAGAAAGTTTGAATAGAGTCAGTTTATTTATAACTACATAGTGTATTGGCAAACGATCCACTTGTACAATACTTAATGTTATGGTGATATAAATCATATTCAATTTCTGTATGGAGTGAATTTGATGTTGTGTTTGTTCAATTATGGTAATAATTGGTTATGAACGTTGTCCCTTTGTTAAAAAAAAACGTAGAATTAATTAAACCCTATATTTTTTCGCAATTTATTTTCGCTTTCCGTATTTTTTAATTAACAGATAAATAGACTATAGATCATTTTATCGTGTTTTAGATTTTTATTTCTAATACTTTCTGTCATATACAACAGAAAAAAAATTTTGTTCACCCAATTTAAAGGTAAATAACTTTCGTCAAAAAATCTAAGAAATTTTGCAGGGAAATTTGTGTATTAGCACATTGTTTATATTAAGTTTTGGCAGATAAAAGTCAACGGGATGAAGAAATAAAAGTGAGAAATAGAATTGCATTTCGAGTGGGGGAGCCTCAATAAACATTTTATTTATTAGTAGCTTACCAGTCACGCATTGCTGCGATTTCAGAATAAACGAAATCCAATCAAACTCGTTGTGATAAAATTAAATTTACATTTTATCATTTTTATTGAAACTTATTATTATTATTCATTTTCATCGGAAAAACATTTCAAAGTGTCGTTTCAATTCTATTTATTTATTGGAGTGCTTGTGGATACACAATATTTTTTGTTTTTCCGTCCTGTGCGTACACGAATAAATCAGAAAGTTTCCAGACGCGTGAGCTGGCCACATACAGTTGTCCATGCGAGAAGTAAGGATTCTCGCATGGACAACATGTGTGGTTAAAAACCAAAGCTGTATTTTTTCCATCTTATTTACCAATAGAGCAGCCCAGATTGGGAATGCATAGNACTTTCGGGATTTGGATGATGATGGCTTTCGTTTTGACTTCTGGATATCTTGGCATACTTCCATCTTATATGATTTTTCCTGGAGAAGAAAAAATTCCTCAAACTTTTAAAGAATTATTTGCTGTTTCTTCGGATAAAAAATACCATATGGGTGTCACAATTCATTCTGTGCAATATACGGCAATCTGGGTAAGTGAAATATGGACAAATAAGAGTAGAGTACGCTGGGCTGTTCTAATTAAGGGATTACAACTTAAAAATGTGGGGAGTATTGGCTTTTCAATAATACGGAAATGGCATTTATTTTGAAAACTAACTGCAACTTTTATCACCAGATACCGGAGGAAGCATTGCATTCGTAATGTTGAATATATTCTCCATTATACGTGGTAGCAATTTCAATTAGAAGAATGTCATTTCAAATGCAACTTTAAAACATCTTGGCAAACCTGTTCATTCGAACTTACTCTCTGAATTTTGTTAATAAAGCTTTATGACTAACGGGGTGTTTTTAAGAGATTGTTGTAATTTGATAAATTCAAATAACTTTTTTAATATATCTGTTTTTTATTTCAACTGACATGTTACCTTTTGCTCTTGAGAATGTCATTCTTCTAATACAGGCTGCAATCAGTAATGGTGGAGGTTATACAATTATCAACTGTTTTTTAAGTAACTGTTTTTTCTGTGTTCTAGTATGTCTGAAGTCAAAATTATACATTGAATTTTAGGATGACCTCCAGCCATTTCTAAGCAAGAATAAGATTATTGTATATGCTGTGTATTTTCATAGAAATATATAACTTATCTTTAAATGTGTAAATTATAAATTATAGGGTTTAATATGGAAGAAACTACCTAATGAAATTCTAGAAAATTTCAGAAGTTACATCGGTAAATACAAATTAGCAAACATACAAAACGTATCGCATGGATTGGAGCACGTTTTAAATGATAATGGCTGCCTGATTACATTTAACAACGCTATTTTTAAAGTCTCCACTCGTGCACTATGGTAGTTGCGTCTGGATAGTTATAAGGGTGCGGGAGATATGGGGTTTAAAGTGATTGAATTTAAAGATTTTCTATTTCGATTTTAAACATGTTCGAACCGTTTTAAATTCGAATTTGTATTCGAATTCGAATTTAAATCCGAATTGGTTCGATTATAGAACGATTGTAAACGTTCCAGAAAATTGATCAAATTAAAAATAGTTTGTTTGACTGGACGTAAAAATTCTTCAATTAGTCTGGAAACGGGGGACCTGATTCTTGCATTATGTGCTACAAGGGTGTGAGAGATATGGGGTTGAAAGTGGTTGACTTCGAGGATGTGTAACAATGAAAGTGTCAACAATAGAAGTGTTAACAGTGAAAGTGTTAACAATGGAAGTCTTGAGTAAAAAAGGAAGTGTTAATATAAAGCGGCATGCAAGATTTACAGGCGGCTTTTTGCGTTTTCGCGGGAAATCAAACATATTTTTAGACTCGTGTGAAAATTCTCTAATTAGTCTGAAAATGGGAAACCTAATTCTTGCATTCTGTGAAAACGGGTAAGATTGGCTATAATGTAATTATCTTAAACTTCCGTATCGTTACTTTTTGCTTAGCGAAGCGGGTCCATGCAGCTAGATTCTAGATTACTTAGAAAAACAGTCTTTTATATATAAAAAAAACTATATTACATACAAATAAAAACCCAGCGAAGCGGGTCCTTTCAGCTAGATTCTAGATTACTTAGAAAAACAGTCTTTTATATATTAAAAAAAACTATATTACATACAAATAAAAACTCAGCGAAGCGGGTCCTTGCAGCTAGATTCCAGATTACTTAAAAAAACAGTCTTTTATATATATATAAAAAGAACTATATTACATACAAATAAAAACTCAGCGAAGCAGGTCCTTGCAGCTAGTATGTCATAAATATTTTTCGGTCCTTTGTAAAAGCAATAAGCTGTGACAATACAGTTGTTACCAGTGTTCAATTTTATTAGTGATTTTTTACTTACCTTACATTTCAAATACTTTTATTAATACATTCAATCATAATATATTTTATTAATGAAATGATTTACAGATGTGGATATTCATTCTGTTTCTTTGAATACATTGCGTATCACTTTCGGGATTTGGATGATGATGGCTTTCGTTTTGACTTCTGGATATCTTGGCATACTTCCATCTTATATGATTTTTCCTGGAGAAGAAAAAATTCCTCAAACTTTTAAAGAATTATTTGCTGTTTCTTCGGATAAAAAATACCATATGGGTGTCACAATTCATTCTGTGCAATATACGGCAATCTGGGTAAGTGAAATATGGACAAATAAGAGTAGAGTACGCTGGGCTGTTCTAATTAAGGGATTACAACTTAAAAATGTGGGGAGTATTGGCTTTTCAATAATACGGAAATGGCATTTATTTTGAAAACTAACTGCAACTTTTATCACCAGATACCGGAGGAAGCATTGCATTCGTAATGTTGAATATATTCTCCATTATACGTGGTAGCAATTTCAATTAGAAGAATGTCATTTCAAATGCAACTTTAAAACATCTTGGCAAACCTGTTCATTCGAACTTACTCTCTGAATTTTGTTAATAAAGCTTTATGACTAACGGGGTGTTTTTAAGAGATTGTTGTAATTTGATAAATTCAAATAACTTTTTTAATATATCTGTTTTTTATTTCAACTGACATGTTACCTTTTGCTCTTGAGAATGTCATTCTTCTAATACAGGCTGCAATCAGTAATGGTGGAGGTTATACAATTATCAACTGTTTTTTAAGTAACTGTTTTTTCTGTGTTCTAGTATGTCTGAAGTCAAAATTATACATTGAATTTTAGGATGACCTCCAGCCATTTCTAAGCAAGAATAAGATTATTGTATATGCTGTGTATTTTCATAGAAATATATAACTTATCTTTAAATGTGTAAATTATAAATTATAGGGTTTAATATGGAAGAAACTACCTAATGAAATTCTAGAAAATTTCAGAAGTTACATCGGTAAATACAAATTAGCAAACATACAAAACGAATTCCAATACTTTCTGTCATATACAACAGAAAAAAAATTTTGTTCACCCAATTTAAAGGTAAATAACTTTCGT